AGATATAAAGACATTACTACAATTTAAAAAATAAGGTAGTGAGTAAGTATATGAGTACATATGTACATAAATTTTATATGTATGTATATACATATATAATTCTTTTACAATGTAAATATGTGTGAAAGAAAATATAAATTACTTGTATTGGGTACTTTGTTACCGACCGTACTTTGTGTATACAATAGGTAGGTTATGTGATGGCAACAAATTTTGCATATCGAGTTTTCAGAGGGAATGTACTTCTCCTCATAGCAGGCAAGTGTAAATAAACTATTTTTAGCAACCTGTCGGTCTGTGTGTGCACGCGTGTATCTCAAGTTCTCCTGAACCGATTTTGATGAAATTTTATATGTAAGTTTATTTTCACCATGGCACGGATTGATCAACTTTTGGGATATATCAGGCCTCGGGAACTGCACTTTTTAGCGGGCTTGTTTTACATTTTTCAACATTTTGAAGAAAATATTCAACCGATTTTCTTGAAATTTCATATATAAGCTGTGCTCGACTGTCCGCAAAAATTCCTTACTTTTGGAAGAAATCAGGCATCAGCAACTGGACGTTTACTACTAGCCAAATATACATTTTTGTGTATATAAAGAGAAATAATCAACCGATTTCATTGAAATTTAATATTTAAATTCCTCGTATTGAAACAATGAATATATAGATTTTTTGGAAAGATCAGGGCTCGAAAACTGATCTGCGGGCCGATTTTACATTTTTCACCATATCTACGGAACGAATTGATGGAATTTCTTGAAATTTGATATTTGAGTTCTGGTTGTTACCGAAAATAACTGGCGAGCATTTCAGGGAATTCGGGTAGCACAAAGCGAAACTCTACTAAGAGCCAAATTTACATTTTGCTCGGTATGTTAACTATAAGCTTACTAACGTCCTAAAAATTGGAAAGAAGTATTTAACAGACATTTTTATAATATTCTGTAACATTTTCACTTAACTAGACAATACACATTGCGGTCGGTTATGTGCTGACCACATCAGATTTTTTTTTGTAATAATGATGAATTGAAATGCAGTCTTTTAATAGTTGACTTTTTGTTTTTTTAAAAAGAGAAGAGATCTAAATGACTTTTAAATGACTTTTAAAATATTGAAAAAAAAAACTAAAAAAAATGGTTTTTTATTCAATTATTCGGGAATAAAGTGTTTTAAATAATTTTGCTAATTTCATATTCAAAACGTGCTTGGATTTTCTGACAGCTTGTCTTATCGAATAGTGACAAATAATATGGACAATAAATAGTAAAAATATACAAAACTCATCAAATGCGACACTTTACTTAAATGAGTTCACATTTTGAATAAAAATTATAATGGTTCCATAGATCCGAATAAAACCCCCAATTTAAGACACGTATAGTTCCGAAAATGACAGTAACATTTTTGTATTTGCAGGTCTGCCCATATTATTTTTAAAATTGGTACACTATTTAATAAATACATATGCAAAGTTCCTATTCAGTTCCTTTCAGCTTAATTCAGAATGAATTTGCCCTAACAAAAATTTTCATTAATAAAATTTTCATAATTTTGTATTTCTAAACGTTCTGAAGTGAAAATCTGTTTTCTTATGTTACGAATTATCGTGAGATATTTTTATCATGTTTGCGTTACTCCTACAAATTTCCTCAACTTTAATCTTCTTATCATTTACAGTGTTCTTAATAATTTAATGTTTTTACAAAAATATTGCTTTGTTCTTACTGAATTTAAAAATTAATATTAATAACAAATTGCGAAATTTCTTTGAAATTTAAAATGTTGAAGTAAGTTTTTATTATGGTTTACTTATATTCTTATGTAATTTGGTGTTTAATAACAAGAAAAATTTAATTAAAAAAAGAAAAATATAAAAATTGTATTTCTTTATTCCAATTAAGTTTTTTTTATTATATTATTGTGTAATACTGAAATTCCATTGTTAATTAAATTCGTAGACAATCATTATTATTTTGGTATTTATCATTCTTTTTTTGTGCAGTGATATGTTTATTAAATAAATTTAATGTTGACGAAAATGGTGAAAATTTGGCTAAAACAAAAGTTCTATTCAATTTTCTTAAATTAAAACTTTTTGTTATAAAATGATAGAATCTTTGTATTGTAAATGATATAACAAAATCTGACGTGGTCAGCATTTAACCCACCGTAATGTCTACTGTCTAGTTTAACGAAAGTCTTACAGAAGATTATGAAAATGCCTTTTTTCTTTTAATCACTTCTTTTCAATTTAAAGGAAGTTAGTAAGCTTTAATGTAAATTTGGCTCTAAGTGGAGTTTCGTTTTGTGTCATCCGAATTTCCTGAAAAGTTCACCAGTTAGTTTCGGTAACAACCAGAGCTCAAATATTAAATTTGAAGAATTTTTTTTAATCCGTTCTCTAAAATTGGCCTGCGAAATTATCCGGCCTTTCATCAAAATCGACATTCCCGAGCCTGACCATCAAAATCGGTTCAGCCGAACTTGAGATACACGCGGACACACAGGTCGACAGATAAACCGACATCCTTCTAAAAATATTTTATTTACGCTTCCCGAATACGGGGTAGTACGTTATCACCAATAATCCGACATACGAAATTTGGGGCCTTTACATAGCCTCCCTTACTGTATGAAATGCGATCGGTAATCAGGAAAAACATCCGTATATTGACTGAATTATACCCGGCATCATGAAAATCTGAGTGCATTTAAGAATTTGTTTTTGAAAAATTTAAAACGAGCTTTTATTCCTCAAAAATTTAAGTATGCGTACATACATATGTAGTAATTGGGCAAACGACTACCAAATTTTATGCACCTACAACTATAAGTTGTGTTCAGTTATAACTTAGCTGCAAAATAAAAAATATTTGTCGTTCATTAGTTCTATAACACTAGTCTAATATCCACTAATAATTTTTTAAGTAAAGCCAAATATTTCACAATAATTTGCTTATTTTTTTGATTGTGAGTGTATTTATTGTTCTAATTTTCATATGTAACTTGTGACTAAACTTATAAATTGCAATTTATTTGAAACATTAAAGAAAAAGCAAAAAAAAATTTTAGTACGAGATAAAAAAATATTTTATTTGTTTACAATTCAATGATTTTTATGCACGGATTAACACTTATGATTAAAATAAAATGATTTACTTGCTTTGTATTACAAAAATATGTTGTAAAAACTAACCTCAACGTGTAATAAATTAACCGACTTTTATGTTATGAGCAAATAAGTTTTATTTAATAAAATATACTGGTTATATTATGTAAAAGTAAGAATAATTAATAATGAATGCGCGGAACTTAAAAATCGAGAAAAGCATAAAAATTGATTAACTTAGTTGAAGCAACTTTAGTTGGTTAAACTGTTACGGTTGATGAGTTTATATTCGCGCGGACATATGTATACGTACGGATATGACTATTGAATATCTATAAATAAAATTTAATGCATACTGATGATATTAATGCCAAAAATTATGCAGATGTTTGCGTAATAACTAGTGAAATTTATCTTTACTAACTACAATGTCTCTACATATACATTTTAATGATCATATGATTTCTTCATTGATTAATGTGTACATGTATACATTGTACATATGTTTATTATGAAAATTTTGTTTTATTAGGTTCCAATATATAATTTATTCAAGTAAAACTGTATCTTACTTTTGTTTTTATGTCGACATTATACTGATCCTATTTCTTACCTATCTTCAGGTTATTAGTCAGGTATTTATATGTCAGGTACAGTATATGTATTTTTTAGTATATTTCTACGTCAATTCTAAATTTTTTGGTAATAAATCAATTCATAAAAAAAATTGAACTGACGTACAATTTACTGAATTTGGATACATGGCTAATGCTCTGAAGATCGATTAAAATATGTATGAATATTTATGTAAATTTGATATTCGTATAATATGGATATTAAACTAATTTAAGTCAAAATATTCACAATAAAGTAATTGAAACAGTTTTAACTAATGATTTCTGTTCACGATTTTCATCTAGAAGCATGTATATATCTACACATTTGCTTTTAATAAGCTGCCATAAACTAGCTTTTCATAGTTTTACATTAAGAATATAGGATATATAACGTATATATACGATTTCTTTATTGAATTAATGTATTTATATATATACATTAATGTATGTATGTATTACATCAATATATATATGTGTGTGTCTATATACATATATGTAAATGTTCTTAACTTTCCGCATGTTTCAATATACAGAAAAGAGCACAATGCTTTCCGTTCTTAATTTTGGATGAAAATTATAATTTCTTTTATATTCATTATTTTAATTAAATTTCGATAATTACCGTTTATACCCAAAGAACTGAGTTCGCTTTAGTATTTGAATGCTTGGAATTTAAAATTTACAGATTTGTCCTACAATATAGCTATATTACTTCTGAATTCCGAAACTAGTATCAAATACTTTTAAAGTAAAAAATATTATTAAAGTAAATAATATTTTAGATTAAAGTAAAAAATATTCTCATTTTATAACACTGCCAAGCCAAACCTTAACATCACGTCATTGTGCATTTTTTGAAAATAGAAAATTTTAAACTTCCAAATTGTTTAGGTTTTGATCGTAAACAATTTAAATTGACATCAGTTTCTTGATTTCATATCTTAACAATAACGAGTGTAGAAATAACTGCAATTCTTCTAACCTAATAAATACATGTAAAAGAAGTTTCAATTTATTGGGAAAAGTGTATTTAATTTTATGAAACTCTTCTTATTTATATAACATTTACTTCTTCTTATTTATATAACTCTTATTTGATTTATATAACATTTATACATATTGCTGAGTTTTTCGCAAATAAAATTTTTTTTTTGCTCTTTCCGACTATCATTTGAAAAATTTTACATTATTACATTTTCCTTGATTATAAACACACGTTTATATAGATTTTCATTAAATTTAATAATTTTCATATTTTTCTTTTCAGATTTCTACTGAAAAGTATCGAACGCAGGTGAGTAATAATGAAAAACATAACGTTTTTAAGGTTAAACGACATTGGCTTTATTTCATATACATAAAAAAAATTTAGAATTTTTCTTTTATGTCTCAATAGACAACTCTTTTTTTATTTAGAACTTATAATTCAACAGTAAATGGAAAAAACACACCCTAAAAACGTCAAAATAAAGATATTAAATATATATTTCCCCATTTCTCAGTCATTAACATTACAAAATTTTACAAAAATAAAGTTAGATCAAGCTAGCGGTTTGTAATGTAGCACTTTTCCCTTTAATATTTAAATATTTAGCGGCCGCATTGTCTATTATTTTTAGCAACTGTCTAAAAATAATAGACAATTGTATAAAAATAATAGACCGAATTAAAAATTCGGTCTGTCTGTGTTTGTGCGCGTGTATCAACTTTTTGGATATATTAGACATTTTTTACCATATCTACGGAACGGATTGATGTAATTTCTTAAAATTTGATATTTGAGTTCTGGTTGTTACTCAAAGTAATTGGTAAACCTTTCAGAGAATTCGGGTGACACAAAGTGAAATTCTACTAAGAGTTCTTAATTTTTACATTTATAAAATTTACATTTTTTTAGGTATGTTAGCTAAAAAATTTCCTAAAATAATTAAGAATAAGCGAAAAGTCGTCATATACTTTGTATATGAATAATATATAAATGGGGAATTATATGTATATATATTACGTATCCTTCTTAGGTATGCTTGTTAATTTCCTTAAAATTTTTAATTATTGCGGTCGTTGATGTGTTGATCACATCAGATTTTTTTTGTTAAATTCTGATGTTTTCATTTGTAGTGAAATATTTTGCCTGCTTTTCTTTAGTTATAAGTGACAGCTTTAAACGTTTTTTAATTCTGTTCGAGGCATAGTGACTCTTTTTTTCTAATATGTCGTCAACAATTAACATTTTTGCAAAGATATTGAAAAATTAAAAGTATTTCTATTCCAGGTTGCTTCGAGTCTACAGCTTTCGTTATTACGTTAGTGTCGTTGTTAATAGTGTCTACTATTAACAACGAATCTCGAGTTAGATTACGGAGTTTAAATGTCTTCTCTGATATTGAGAAACATAGTTTCTGTACATAAGTAATTGATTTTTGAAACTTTAGTTTTTGAACAATATTTTAAATAATATTAAAATATCTAAAGTTAAATAACTAAAGCAAAAAAAAAGTATAAAGTCTAAATGCTTAGCCGCAAACAAAAAATGAACTTTTTAAAAAATTTTGTAACAACTGTCTACAATTTGCGAATTTTAGATATTAATTGAGTAAGCGCGTGAGAAATATAAATATTAAACGAACTCAATTCGAGACTGTAGAGAATTTAAAGTACAGAAATAAGTTAAAACTGAGACAAATTAATAATATTCTAACTGTTCTTGGTACGTATTTGTCGGTGAATGTATTAAGTAATTTTGATTTATAGTACCATCTTATGAAATCATCATGCCACCTGTTGATTTCAAGAAGAAATTTTGGTGAAATCTATAAAATAAAGGTTAGTTATATTTTGAACTGAAAGTTCCCTTGTAAACCAAAATATAATTTCGAATCTAACCAGTTTCAGCAAAAAACTCAAATTAATTTTAAATTAAAATTTATTTTTTTTGCAGATTTCATTTAAGTTCAAAAAGCCCAATTGAAATCTCTGTTTTCTACAGTTGATATTATTCCACAAAATTTTGCATTATAATTTTCCAACCATTCCCTTTAACCTTAACCTTTGGCTTTAATAATTTGCGTTCAATTCACCTTCAAAAAATAAATTTAAAGATTAAATTGATTGATTGATTTTTTCAGTTCCAGAAATTTGGGGAACATATATTTTTAATAGCAACAAAAAAATAAACTAGTTTTAATAATTAAGTTTACATTTTAAATGTTAAAAACATTAATTATATTTTATTCGCTTTTACAATTTGGAAAATAAAAAAAACTCAGCTCAAGTTTCCTACAAAATGGAATTTGAAAAGTTATTAAACTTTTTTTTTTGTAAAAAAGGGGTTAACATTCTTTACTATTTTGTATTTATTATTGTCTGCTTATTTTAGCACTTTTCCAAAAAAAAATTTCTGAAAAAATTGCTTATTAGTTTCACTCTATCCGTCCGTCCGTGGACCTGTTTACAAAAGTTCTACATCGTTAAAGATAGAAAGCTGAAACTTCCGTAGAAAAAATTAGGTAGAAACTTATTTCCGTAGAAGAAAATTTTTACCTATTCTCCCTAAAGTTATAGCGCCCCAAAATCCTAAAAATGACATTTTTCAACTATTTATTGCAGCGAAACATTCCAAATTTTGAAAATCCGTTTTTTCCAAATTTTTGATATCGTTTTTCAGGTTGTTTATCAAACTGATTTTTAAAAACTAATAACTAGTTCATTTCGTCGGAAGAAAATTTTTTTGCCCCTTTAACCCTCACTCAAATTATCGCTTCTTGAAATTTGTAAAATTTGAACTTTCGTACCTCATATACTTACCCTAAATTGCTAACTTTTCCAAATTTCTATAAATACAGAAAGCAAATGGTAAATGTCATTAAAAAATTTAATTATTTTTTTTAACTTACGCATTTAGCGCTTAAATTCGAGCATTATGTTAAGGTCTCTTTAATTTTTTTGAAATGAAATATATTTGAATATGAATGACAGTAATTTTACATTACAAAGATTATTTTTAAAAGTGGCATTTTAATTTTTCAAAGGGAACAATTCTACATTATAAACCATTGGTTTGACCCAACTTTATTAATTTTTACATTTACGCTAAAAACAATATGTAATTGTCACTTATTCCCTTGGTTTGTTTTCTTATTTTTCAATTTCTTCTTTCTAATACTTCGTTTTAGTAACAAAGCATATATTAGAAAGAGTCTAGGTATTTAAATACAGAAAATGATAAATTATGTTTTCTTTATATTTTCAATACATTCTTAAATTAAATCACCCTATGAAAATAACACCCAGGTACATGATGTACAAGATGTTTCAATATCTAAATTATTGAATTTAATGATATTAAGAGAGTAAGAATATTTTGAACAGTTATCACCTGAAAATTGAATTGCTGCTCAATAAAAAAAAATTAACATTCATGAAGGCAAATAAATGCAAATATTTTTAAGGAGAGTTAATTATACACATAATACAAACTCATTTTTGATTTACCTTCCATATTCAAGATACTCGTAAAACAAAAATGCATTAAGTGTGCCGATCAAATTTTCGCGAACAAACTTCATTAGTCATTCAGGAACTATAAAAACTGCACCGCTTTTATTTTGCATACATTTTGCATATATGTACATTTGCATAGCTTTAATTTTACATACCAGTTTAATAATATTTTACGATAATATTTGGTTTTATAACTTTTAACAATTGTTGCCATACAATTTTAAAAATTTAATCAGGTCTCCCAATTATATAAGGGTTATAGTGTTTAAACTTTGAATAAGGACTTTAGTAACATGGCCACTGTTCCAATAAAACGTGGCCGTAATTTTATTTTATAATAGACCAAATTTCACACAAGCAAGTTAAGTAACGTAAACCTCATCATAAAAAGATATTAAATAATGAAGTAATTATTGTATGACGCATGAAAATGAGAAATTTTCTTAGCTGTCACAAAATTATCTATTTTAGAAAATTTTTAAGGAAAACGTTTATACACTGTTTTCTCTTTCGTTTGTAAATATGTACATATGCATACATAATTGTAATGGATATAAGTAACATACTTGAATATTTTACATTTTATATTTTATTTTATTTCTCATTCATATTGATAAACCCTGACATAATGTACATATACTTACATAATATTATATCTGTAAGTTCATTAGTTTTTTATTTTTGGTGCGATATTGTTTTCCCTTAATAAGTGCTTATATTTGCGTATAATAAGTATATTTTGCTGCCTGGTACAATCTGGCTAGTTGATAATTATATTTACGTTTTCATATTTTTAATTGGAGTGAGACATCAATGTTGACTTTTTTGTTTGTTTATAAAATAAAACTTATAACACAAGCAAATATTAAAATAGGGAGAAAGAAAAACTGAAATAAGAATAGAAAATAATAGGAAATTAAAATGAAATACAAGAAACTGACATTAGACACTTGTGTCGCCATTGTGTACTTGTTATCAATTTTCCTCAATATTTTTTTTTATTTATTACTATGTTTTAAAATATTTCATTGTTATGTTGCATTTCCTACATTATTCAAAGACTATTTCAATCTTAACTTGTGATAGAAGGAATTAAGACTATAATATTTAATTAATTTAAGCTCTACATTATTAACACTAGATTGGCCAAGGAAGGAATTTTGACTGTCTTTTAATTTCGATTAGAAAAACAATTATTGTATGCAATGATATAATTTCATAAAATTTTATGACAACCTAAAAATGCGTTCATTGATAATTGTAGCTACCTCCCCTCCTCACTCATTTCCTGTATATGTTATACCTATGTATATTACCCAAAAGAAGCAGTCATTTTGACTGCTAGTGAAATTTAAGATAATCAAATGACTTATTGTTGAAATGAGTAAATTTATTATATGACCGCGGTTCGGCTCTGTGTTGAAATAAAATTTATTTCGATGACCGTTACATAATGGCGTGCAAGTATGTATATGTTAAAATGTCGATTCGAACGTGCGCTAACTAAATAATTTCTAGTGGCTCAATAAGGTAAGTGTCCCTAATACTGACATATTTCGCAACAAAATCAACTTTGGCGTGAGATATTTTATATGTAGGGCACAATAAGTGATCGTGTTTCTGATTTTTTGAATAATTTAGAAAATTGCGAATAATGTTTTTTATAAAATTATTTAACCAAAATATTTTTTAATTCATGATTTTTTCGATTAAAAATGAAAAGAAAAAATGTTCCTAATATTGACATATCCGCAAATGTTTGTGTCTATTACTGACAGTTTGTGTTCCTAATAC